TAGGTATGCTCGGGCTGTAACGGAGTCCAGTCATGTGCCAATGAACTCTAGATCTTGGACCGGGTGCAGCATTGATTTGTCTTTGTTGATCAGGAGGCCTAGACAGTTGAGGAGGGCCGTGGTCATATGTATCAGAGGTGGTTTCGGCATATGAGGACCCCTTTAGAAGGCAGTCGTCCCGGTAGGGGAATATGATAACATTCTGCCGCCTGAGGTATGCAGCTACGACCGCTAGTACCCTTCAAAAATACCCTTGATGAGAGGCCAAAAGGGGAGAACCTTGTATTGGAAGTGGTCTGGACCAAGCACAAAGTGTAGGTAGCATCTGTTGGAGGAGTGGATGGTTATATGGAAATAGGCATCTTGGAGGTCGAGGGCTGCGAACCAGTCCCCTTGATCTAGCGCAGAAATGATTGCGGAGAGAGTGACCATCTTGAAACGCTGTTTCTTGAGAAATTTGTTCAGTTTGCAGAGATCCAATATAGGTCTCCAACCCCCTGTTCTTTTCTCGGTCAAGAAATAGTTTGAGTAAAACCCTCTCCCATGGAACTCTCGGGGTACCCTTTCTATCACTCCAATGACGAGAAGCCAATCGATCTGTTTTAGAAGGGTTTCGTGAGAGTGGTCCCTGAAAAGGGATGGTATAGCCCACTCAAATTATCTCTAGGACCCAGCGGTCCGATGTTAGGGATTCCCACTGTGGGAGGATGGGGCGCAAGCAGTGGTTGAATAGATGGCCATGTTGACCTGGTGCTAGATCGTGAGGGAGGTCTTGTAGGCCCTCGACCAAATGTTCAAATTTGCTGCTTAGATGGTTGAGTAGCCAGTGGGCGGGCTTGGTTGGGTCACCTTCTGGGACCTTGCTGTCTTGGTCTGGTGTCTTCATAAGGCCTCTGTGGTTGATTGTATTGCTCATATCGGTATTGATTATATGAATTATATGGGGTGTATCGCCTGCATTTATAGGGTGGCATGTACATGCCTAACATGCAAAGTGTGGACTTAGAATTTTTGCTGTTGTGGAGCATTTCGTCCGTAGTGGCTGCAAATAACTTTTGCTTGTCAAATGGCAAGTCTTCCACTTTGGGCTGGAGCTCACGGGGAACTCCAGACGACTGGAGCCAAGAAGCTCTACGCATCACCACTGCTGTAGCTGTAACTCGGGCTGCGGTGTCAGCTACATCCATTGACGTCTGGAGAGCAGTGTGGGCGATCATATGGCCCTCATGAACTATTGATTTCAAGATGGGTCTTTTGGGGAGTCAGGGAGGTGTGCCATTAGTTTTCCCAGTTTTGAGTAGTTGTCAAAGTTATGATTTGCTAAGAGGGCAGAGTAATTTGATATTCTGAGTTGTAGAGTGGAAGAGGAGTATATTTTCTTGCCAAAGGAGTCCAACTTTTCGTGGTCCTTGTCTGCATTACCCGTCCTATATTGTGGAAGCTTCGCTCGTTGTTGTGATGAGTCCACGACTAGTGAGTTAAGTTGTGTGTGAGTGAAGAGAAAGTCGTTTTCTTTTGAGGGGACAAAGTACTTTGTCGATTTTCTTATTAGTTGGTTGAATGGATGCAGGTGTCTTCCACAGGTCTTCTGAGGTCTCCATTATTGCCTCGTCTATGGGCAGGGCAATCTTGCCATGTAGTGTGGGATGTAGATTCTTTAGCAATTGGTATTGTTTCTTCTGCACCTCTTGCAGGGAGACATTCTGGCTTGTCACTACTCTCGAATAGTTCTTTGAACTGTTTTAGACTGTCAATTGTTCCAGTAGGCATCAGAGTGTGTGACATTTACTGATTGAGTATCTGAGTCGTTGTCTGAGATTTGTTCCATGTCGAACTCCGAAAAACTTGCTGGAGATAGGGGTTGTGGCCGAGGCAAACTTCTCCGGGATGCGGTGGAGCGAGGTGGGGAGCGGTGTCCATATGGCTCCCAGTGATCCACCGCAATGGGGACTGTGGGAAAAGGTGGAGGTGGGTAAGGCCAGTATAGGATCCATGGGCTATGTTGTGGTGGAGCCCTATAATGGTGGGAGCGAGACTTCCCAGGTGATAGATGTCACGAGGAATAGACCATGTGGCGGTCATCATTAGGAAGGGGAGCATCCTGAAGAGATAACGGTGATATCTACCTGGGAGAGGATTGCATTGATGGAGACCTCCCAGGAGAGTAAGAAGTAGAGGGCAAGCACGGATAGTGATGCCTCCTGTCTCTCGCTGGGCCTGATCCCTAGCAGCCTTGTCTGGCTGTGGCAGGACCAGCGGAGCATCAGCTGGTGCCAGCGGCTTCAGAGGCTGCCCATCCTTTTGCTGCGGTGCTGTGACTTTAATCGGCGCTGCAGCTTTAAGCTGCTTTGAAGCGGCACCGCGGTTTGAAGCGGTGCCGGCTTTTCCTGCCGTGCCGGCTGCTTAGAGCGCTCCCGGGGCCGCTCAGCTGTTGCTGAGATGATGGGACTGAAAAACTTCTAGGAAAAGAGAGTCCACGCCCCATTCCAGGAGTTCACACTTCTAGGACAATAGCAAGAGAGCCAAACCTGCATGAGCACGGCCCCGACAGTCCATTTCTCCATGACAAACTGGTTCCCAATGGAGCAGATGTCTGGCGTGGTAAGCTTCCACATAGCGATGGTAACATGCTTCTCAAGGGGGGTGGCAGGTCGCATGTGACTGTTCCATCGCCAGAGGGCAGGGGCAAGCCACTTGCACAGCTCCAAGATGGTGTCCTTCAGCATGCGGAAGTTCTGGAGCCACTTCTGGTTGTCCCACTGCTCCATGATGATCTGGTCCCGCCAGTTGGAACTGGTGTTCTAGTGCCAGAAGCAGCAGTACATGGTGTGCAGGGAGGCATGGGAGGGGCTGTGATGCATGAGAAGCATGTGGAGTAGGGTGAGGAGGTGCCCCAGAGTGAGCTGCTGGTCGTGGGCCTGCCGTAACACATGGGCAGCCTGCATTAACTATGCCAGGAGGTGCAGCATGAGGTCTGTGAGTGCTTTGCAGCAGGTCCGCTCCATGGCAGAAGTGCTGTGGCATCCGCAAGGGCAACCAGAGCATGCAGAGAGAAGAGTTTGCTGTCCCTCAAGGAGGCAGACAAAGGTGTAAAGTCTGAGACACAGCTGTAGACGGTAGCCCCTTTAAGCACAAGCCTCCCTCACACAGCAGCTCCAGGAAGTGACCGCTGCCCTGGAGCTCTGCCTGGAGTGCTTCCAAGGGGCTTTAAATGTGATTCCAGCTCCAATCAGTGTGGACTTGCTATTTCGATGGACATTTGTAGTGTGGACGCGCTATTTTGAAATAGTTATTTCAGGAGTTAATCCAAAATAGCTTATTTTGAAATAAGCGCGTGGTGTAGACATACCCTTAGAGAGCAACATACTACAGCACTCTAGAAAATCGGACCTCTAATGCTTTATAGACAAGCCATTAAAAAGTTCTCAGTGTGGAAAAAAGAAGCACAAGCCACAACATGAAACAGTAGAACAAGCAGCATAATGACTTAGATTCAGAAGGTTAAAAGTCTGCTGACAGTTATTAATTTAAACCTCAAACAGTTAAGTTACCAAATTTCGTAACATCTGTGTTACTCAGTTTCTGGATTAAAAGAGAGTCATTCTTTGAAGCAGCTGCCCCAAAAAGGATCAAACACAGCTCAGAGTGAACATGCCTCTGCAACATTAAGCAATAAAATGAGCTCATATTTTATTAAAGAGACACGGTCAAAGTTGGCAGGCCCAGAATGACCTATTTTTCTTATTTGCAAAGTCCATGAAATTGTTTTTCTCTTTCCTTCTATCCAGAACACAGACCACATACAAGATCCTCCCATTCAACATTATTAATATATGAGTAGCTATCTTTATACCATGCATATCACTGTGATATCTGAGCACTTTTCTGGACAATAAACTAACAGGAAATAATAAAAACATAATAGTAACATATACCAAACAATATTCAGTCTGTAAGTTGGGGGGAAAAACACACGCAGTTGTTCAGCTGCATAACATAAACTAATGGATGTAAAGGCAGGATGCTTTCATCCCTTTACAATTGTTCTGCATCCATCACTTGCATTATCCACACGCAGGACTATTCGTTTTTTTTTTTTTTTTTTTTTTTTTAATACTGTCACTGTCATTTTCCATATGCCAAATTTTTATCCATCTCAGGAACAGAAGATTTACTGAACTAAATCAAAATTTTGCCTTTTTATTTTTCATGTTTAAAGTACAGATTGGCAAAATTAAAACAGCCTTAATTGTGGTGTGCTCGCCAATATTATGCTAGACTTAGACATTGGTTAGTACCTATAGAGAACTGTTCATGTCTCACCTTCACATAGAAAGGTGGCTGGCATCCATGACCAGAACCATGAATATATAATACATGATCTATTTTAATTCAGGTAGGGACATTTCTTTTTTCATACATTTGTAAATGGGTAGAAATAAAGACTCAGTTCAGTTCTTGAAATGATCAATGAATCCTCCCTTATTTAGGCAATCTGACCTATCCAATGAGTATCAAAACTATTAATAAAAAGTTTCCAACATGGTTATTGCTAGCAATAGTCTAACACAGAACAACTTGGAATAAGATTTTTCTTCTCAGGACAGTGCTAGCTTCTTTAACAGTTTTATTATCTCCACTATCTACCTATCCCTTAGGTAGTCTATCACATAATTTGGGAACATGGTTAAAACACAGAACTAGAAATCCCCATCTACAATGAGCATAACTATGTTAGAAATCTTACTACAAACCAACATGACTGTACTCTAATCTGACTTAAAGCAAACTGAAGTCAACATATGTAATCCAGCATTTTTAGACACTCTCACATAGGAACAAAGGAAATGTTACCCACTTTCAAGAACACCTTTCAATTACTTGCTAGAGGTAAATCGATTCAATTAATTCACCAGTGTCTCAAGGATTCTTGGTATAAATTCTCTACAAACATTAAAGCATTGAATGTTAACTGAACAAATCCAGACATGTAATCTTACCATACTGTTATTAAGATTCTTGTCAACCTTGCAGAATGTATGTGGAGGGCTCTCTCCCTTACTTGGTATTATTATACATATATCTGTGACAGCCAAGGTGTTTTGGGTCATGTTTTTGGAGGCTCTTCGGTAAGTGATGTACACTCTTTGTGATGAGGCACTGCCACTAATGTTTGCAGGACGACCATGTGGAGTGGCTTGAATGATTTCACAGCCCTGTTTTAATCTCTCTTTCCCATCATATAAAACCCTAGATTAAAAACAAATCAAAGGGAAAAAGAAATTGTTTAAACACAGTGAAGACAGATCCAGAGCTGTAACTGAAGACTAAACATTTAAAGACAAACCCTATCGTACCTCTGATGAGAATATATTTTCCCCATAAGGGGGGGAAAAAAGCTACTTCGGTTCACATTATATAAAACCACGTTCAAACAGGAAACTTCCATTCTGATGCTAGATTACCAATTTTCTTCGTATATGACTAGGGGGCTGTGCCCCCTGCTCACTATGCTCGCCAAACCCCCCTAACCCCCGCTCTCTCTAGGGATAGGTGTCTGGCCAGGCAGAGGGGGCAAGAGTGGGCTGGGAGCAGGTGTCTGTCTATGGGGAGGGGCAGGAACGGGCTGGGGGGTGCTGAGTCTTGGTCGAAGGGGTGAAAGGACTGGGGAGAGATTGGGCTCAGATGCCAGTGGGGATGTGGGGCAGTCGGGGGGTGGTCAGATGGCCGAGGGGACCCAGCTCCAGCAGCTCCTACCCAGTGGCACTGCCCCCTGGGGAGTGAAGCGGGAGCTGGAGCAACTGTCCACAGGAAAAAAACTTTATATAGGGAGATGAATACACATCAAAGAATAATATGTATTGTTGTCAATTACTGAAACTCCAAAGTGTAGCTGTTGTATACACTATTGTATCTGTACTTGTAATTCAACAGATCACCATCATGACATATGGGAGGGAACCATCGCCTAGTGGCTTGCACACGTGTCAGGACTTCCTTGGTTCTATTTTCAACTCTATTACTACTTGTTGTACTATTCTGGTAATGTCACTTAGTTCGAGCCTCATTTGTGTATAAAATGAGATGATGATGAGGACCTATCTATCTAAAGAATGTGTTGTGAAGCTGAATTTTGTAAAACGCTATGAGTCTTCCCCCCCTCCCCTCCCCCACCGAAACGTAGAGGATTATTGCTGTCATTAACTAAGGGCTTACAAGCCCCAGACTTTTATTGAGCTGTAGCAGGGTCACATGGTGAATCAGCTTACAGCAAGCAAGTGCACTGTAGATTCAGACCTCAGCTTGCTGCACACTAACTTGCCACACAGGCAAGATATAGGATCCAACATTTACCAAGTATGATGTTTGTCTACAATACTGGCCAGATTTAAACCCAACTAAAGTCAATGAGACCCCATCCTTTGAGGTCTTTAGATTAGGTCCTAAATTGCAGCAAGGGAGGTTTAGATTGGACATAGGAAAAACTTCCCCAGGCTACTCCCAGAAATGTCCGCCATGTCCCTGCATCCCCTGGGGATAGAGAGAGATCTCCATGTGCTGCCCCTATAGCTCCCATTGGTCAGGAACCATGACCAACGTGAGCTGTGGAGTAGGTGCATGCATATGGTGGCAGCACATGGAATTACCGCCACACCCCATCCTCTAAGAGCTGTTGGCTGCTTCCAGGAGCTATGCAAAACCATAGCAGGCAGAGAGCCTGCCTTCACGCCACTGTCCCACCACCCTAGAGCCACCCAAGGTAACCAGCACCAGGCTGAAGACCACAATTCATGGTCTGCCATTCAATTTTCCTAATCTGGATATTTTCATTGGGCCCAAAGATTTGCCCACCCCTGGTCTAGATGGTACTTGGTCCTGTCATGATTGCAGAGGACTAGACATGATGACGTCTCAAGGTCCTTTCCAGTCCTATGATTCTGTATATGTGTATGTGTGTGTGTGTACACACACACACACACTTTTAGTTTTCCATTTATTTTTGCAAAACTTGCACTATTTGATAATTAGTGCCACCTAAAATGACGGAATCAAAAAATTACTCACCCAAGATCAGTAAGTGGAGGCTTGTCCCTTGCTCTCCTGTAGCAAAGAAAAATCTGTGGACCCACAAGACTACCATTATTGAGATCTGCTGATAGTCCTGATGGAGTAACATCTATGCATTTATATCCCTGAGGCACTTCCTCCCCCAGAGATTTGATAATTAGTGTCACATCAGTGATAGGTTCTTTTGGTTTAGCTATTTTATGGCAAGCATCATTGAAGTGGATTTCTTCTTCTAGTGGTTTTGAAATATCTGTCAATCCTGCTACAACAAAGTAGTCAGCAACACGAGCTCCTTTGTCTTCCATCTTCCATCACAGAAAGCTATATCTGGTAAGTAATACAGATATGTTTTAGGAAACAGAAAATTCTCAAATATAAAAGAAAAGCAGAAAAAACAATAAATACTAACACTATGACTATATCATTTAATTTTTTTTTAATTGCATCATATATGAACTACAAGCCACAATATGGAGTGCACTAAAAATGGGATACACACACCTAAAATGAACTGCTATAACATTTTTCGTTTCTTATTTCAGATTGAACATCTCTATCGTGGTTTGGCATGATTTTAGCTGACCACGCCCACAATAAGTGGATATCTGGCTAAGTTTCCCACAGTTCCATAAAATATGCTTACAGCAGTGGTCCCCAACGCGGTGCCCGCGGGCGCCATGGCACCCGCCGGGGCATTTACGTGCACCTGCCAAAACATCTAGGCTGGCCCTGCCCCCGGCGCACGGCACATGAGTGGTGCTGGCCCTGGGCACGTGGCGCGTGCGTTGGGGGTAGGAGCTGCCCACGACACATGCGCAGTGCCGGCCCTGGGCACAGGGTGCGCGGGCGGCCGCTGCCCTAGGCACACGGCACATGCGTAGCTCTAACTTACCCCTAAATGTCTGCTAAGATTCCAGCAGGTGGTGGAAGTATTGGAAATGCTGCTATACAATATTGGCCTCCAACAGTCAAGCAATTTTTCTGGTTTGACACCAGTCAGGTCACCAGGGTACCAGAGAGGCTCAACATATACTGTACCAGTTTGCAACACTTAAAAATTCTCACATTTTGGCTCATACAATTTGACAGATTTTTTCTCCCTAAGGCCAAGTTTCTCCAATTGTGGGTCCGGACCCACTGGGGGGTCGCAAGCAACTTAGAGGGGGATTGCAGTATCACAAAGTTTGAGAACCCCTGCCCTAAGGAAAGGAGAGACCACATAGCCTCTTTTTGTTAATACTGTATACATATTAGAGTATTAGCATCATCAGTGACAGCAAGAAGGTGCAGTTTTGGAATAGTTTGTTAGTTAAATCCTGCTGCAGATCCAAATGGTAGTGCTCACATTCATATGCTTACATAGGTCAGTATGTATCACAGAAGTGGATTTATATTTTATAATCTGCAACCATTAATTTACTTTTTAAATACATATATAGGAAGGACATGTCCTCCATATTCTAAACATAGTGGCTGTGTCTAGACTGCACCCCTTTTGCGGAAAAGGGATGCAGATTAGACACAGAGGAATTGCAAATGAAGCAGGGATTTAAAATCAGGAATAAGGGATCTTTCGGAAAAGGCTTTATTTTCCGAAAGATCCCTGTCTAGACTGGCACTTTTTGCCGGCAAAGCCCCAAGCCGGAAAAAAGCGGCAGCCATGTTTATGCAAATGAAGCGGGGAAGATTTAAATCCCCGCTTCATTTGCAATTGCGCTGTGTCTAATCTGCATCCCTTTTCTGCAAAAGGGGTGCAGTCTAGACACAGCCAGTAGGTTATATTATGTTGGAAGTAATATCATCTGGTGCCATAAGCCCATTAGATCTTACAACATAACCAGGATTAATGCCAGATCTACAAGGAATATTTTGAAGTGCTAATAACTGGTATCAATTCAGTAAATGATACCGTTCTCTTGGGTCTGTGTTCATACAATGTCTGTCCGGGGTGGGGGTTGGGTCCCTTTAAGCACAGCCCTCGGCTAGCCTGAGACAGCAGCTCCATGCTCTAAGTCCTAACCTGATGCCCTGCCTGCACTGCTTCCAGCCAGCCTTAACTTTGGTTCAGGGTCCACTCAATATGGACATGCTAGTTCGAATTAGCAAAATGCTAATTCAAACTAGTTTTTAGGTCTAGATGTACTAGTTCAAATTAGCACTGTAGTGTAGACATACCCTTAGAGAGACAAGGTGGGTGAAGTAACATTTACTGAACCAGCTTTAGCTGGAGAGAGAGAAACAAACCTTCAAGCCACACAGAGCTCTTATGATCTGAATATTTCTATTCTAGACTATTTATCTCACTATCCTCTCAATGATCTCATCTGATATATTTAAAGATTGAACTGACTACACACATTCACTGAACAATTTTGTTTTTGTTTTGTTTTTTACAATGAAACATGCATAAAAGGCCACCTCCAACAGGAAAATCTCTATCATATGTAAACACTTTAAGGCAGTAATTGTATAGCACTGCTATTCTGCAGACCACCTCATAAAAGAGACCTACTCAGAGGCTTCCATCCCCCACTATTTAGTTCTCAAAATGTTTTCTTCTTTAGACAAATGGAAAGGCTCCATAAATCCAAGATTGAGAATACTACTTCAAAGTATGCCCAAGATTTTCTAGTGATAGACTTGCCTGAGTCAGGCAACTGATTTTATTTGGGGAAGAGGGGTCACTTGCAGATTTCACTAAACAGTGCATGCATATGAATACGTTTTTGAAATGTAAACTACTTGTGTTGGCCTAATTCTTTTAGTGTACATCTACCTAGCAGGGCTAAAGTTGATTTAAGCTACACAACTTGAGCTAAGTTGAAATAGCTTAATTCAGCTTTTGGCCCAGTCTACACAGCAGGAAGATGAAGGAAGAATTAGGATTGCCAGATGGCTTAACCAAAAATACTGAATACCTTCTCCCCCTCCCCCCCGAAAATATTCTATTGAGAAAAAGGGGGGGGAGGGGAGAATAAAAAAAGACCCAGAGAATTATTAAGAAGAAAAAAAGCATGGCCCCTTTAAGAAATGCCTTTGAGGCTTTTTGCCGGTGGCCATCTTTCTTTCCTGCTCTGATCCAGAAGACAGCTCCCCTGCGGGGGCAAGAGAGGGAGGGGGAGAAGAGAGAAGAGACACACTGGGCCTGGTTGTGAGTGTGTGTAGGGGTGCCAGGGTGTTGTTGTGGGGGGTGGGGGGGGGGGGGGGGGAAGAGAAGAGAATCAGAAAATACCGGACATTTTAGGTGTCCGGTATTTTCTGGTTTTTTTTGACTGGACAGGAGGCAAAAATGCCAGACTGTCCAGGTCAATACCAGACACCTGGCAACCCTAGGAAGAACACTCCTCCTTCGACTTCCCTTACTCCTCGTAAAATGAGGTTACAGGAGTTAGAGTAAGAAGTCCTCCAGCTTCTTGCAATAGATACGTTATTTTGGAATAACGTTAGTTATTCTGAAATAATGCTGCTGGGTACACATAGCCCTAGATTTCTACTTACTATTAATTTTCCATATTATCTGACCTCAGCTCCATTTTTGTCATTACCATTTTTCCAAATTAAGTGTTCATTCCTAAGAAAACAATTCAGTGCTTTAGAAAAGAAATCCTACCCCTCAATCCATGTCATTACTTTAAAAAAAATATTTCCTCAATTAGCAATTCATTTCCAGTTGACCTCATCTCAAAAATGTGCATATCCATTTCCTTGCTAGGATCTGCCTCTTCCAAATAAGTACCTGTAGTTTAAATGTAATGCCTGCGAGACCAAGGTAAACAAATTACAGGTAGTCCCTGGGTTACGTACAAGATAGGGACTGTAGGTTTGTTCTTAAGTTGAATTTGTATGTAAGTCGGAACTGGGGGTACATATTGTAGGGGAAACTCTAGCCAAACATTTCTCCAGAGCTCAGTTTTATTCTCCCACACCTCACTTCCCTCAGTCCTTTATTCTCAAGCTGAGGTGTCTGCTGAGAAAAGCCGCTCCGCGTCTCCCTGGTCTGCTGGGGGGAAGCAGCTAGTGCGGGGTTGCCTCACCCCGTTTGTAAGTAGGGATCCGATGTAAGTCGGATCCATGTAACCCGGGGACTGCCTGTATTTTAAATCTAGTCTCCAAATGTTCACTACAAAAGTTTTGCAACATCTCACTACAGGTTGAACCTCTCTAGTCTAGCACCCTTGGGACCTGATAGGTGCCAAACCAGAGAATTTGCCAAAGCACGGGATATCTGTATTGTCAAGCATCAATACCAACACTTCCACTGCTTACTGGGCTCTTAGAATATATTTAGGGGTAAGTCAGAAAGAACGAAGTAATAGCACAGAACACAGAGCCAGGACTGGTGGCTGTAAACAAACTTTATGGGACTGTCGGAAACTTGACCACATCCCTGATAAGCAGACAATCAGCTAACTAAAATCATGCTGGACTATGGATATTGCTGGACTAGAGAGGTTCAAACTGTACTACATAAGGCAATTATTTTACTTGCCTATTTCTACACTAGATGACATAAGCAACTTTACTCAGGCATTAGAAGAATAAATAATACAAGGCCTCTCTCCCTATAAACGAAGGCCACTGGCTATATTTACTCTAGCTTTTCGCTGATCAAGTATTTTACCGTTGCTATCAAGGGTACAGTTTCTTTACTGGTAACAACAAAAGAGCCAGTGTCAACTGGTCATCAGCATTTTAGCCATTGTAAACTTGACCAGAATTGGAATAGATGTCACAGTAATTAAAAAGATGGCACCAATCAGCACCTTATTTATAATGGGATTTATATTATTGCTACCACTTGTGGAGCTGTACAGGTGGAATAATTGAGGAAACCAAAAATTCTAATAGACAAGGCTTGTGACCAGAAATGTGTAGGAAGAAACTCTTCTGTGTTTCAACTCAATACTTCCATTAAGGGCAAAACCTGCCTAAGGATTGAATAAAGAGTTCTGCCACCCAAACATGAGATTTGCAGGATACTTGCAAAGAATATTAACTGCACAGAGCTTTCAGATCACTACTTAAGTAAGAACATAAGAATGGCCACAGTGTGTCAGACCAAAGGTCCATCTAGCCCTGTATCCTGTCTGCCGAGAGTGGCCAATGCCCGATGCCCCAGAGCGAGGGAACAGAACAGGGAATCTTCAAGCAATCCCTCTCCCATCATCTATTTCCAGCTTCTGACAGAGGCTAGGGACACCTTTCCTACTCATCCTGGCTAAGAGCCATTGATAGACCTAACCTCCATTAATCTATCTAGCTCTTTTTGAACCTTGTTAAAGTCCTAGTCTTTACCACATCCTCTGGCAAGGAGTTCCACAGGTTGA